TCTCGGGCTCAAAGACCACCTCTTGGGCGTCCTTCCCGGGCTCACAGACCACCTCTTGGGCGTCTTTCTCAGGCTCATAGACAGCATCAGAAGTGAACCTAGAGGCAACACCGGCAACACCTGACCTCTATGAATCTTTATTGTGGTTGTTGTTGTTATTGATATTTTATTATTATTAATATGATTGCCATCATCTTCATCATTATCATTACTGATGTTATAATTGTTGATAATAATGATTATAATAATGAAGATGGTAATGGTGATAACAACACTGATAATGGTAACAATAATAAAAGTAATAATGATGATGATAATGATTATAATAATGATTATGATAATAATAATAATAATAAAAAAAAATAATAATAATGATAATAACAATAATATTAATAATTACAATAATAACGATAATAATAATAATAATAATAATAATAATAATAATAATAATAATAATAATAATAATAATAATAATCACCATCATCATCATCATCATTATCATTATCATCATCATCATCATCATCATCATCATCATCATCATCATCATCATCATCATCATCATCGTCATCAATATGAAAATGATGATAGTGACTGTGATGATGGTGATTAAGTTAGTGATAATGGCAATGATAATAATAGTAGTAATAAAAGAAGAAATAAAGTTATAATGATAGGAATGGTAAAACAAGTCATACTAATAGTAAATATATTTTTTTTATTTACATCTCAATACTGAAATAAATTTGTAAGTGGTGTATTATACTTATTTGTGTTTGTTATTGTCGATTTCAATATCATCATTATTTTCATTATTATCATGTTTCTTATTTTTGTTATTAACGTTCATTATCATTCTTCTTTTTGTAATCCTTATCATTATTATTGTTATTACCATTATTATTATTATTATTATTATTATATTATCATTATTAGATTATCGTCATTATTGTTACCGTTATTATAATTACTATTATTGCTATAATTGTGTTCATTATTATTATCATAACTTTATTATTATTATTATTATTATTATTATTATTATTATTATTTTTATTTTTATTATTATTATTATCATATTATCATTATTAGAGTATTGTCATTATTGTTATCGTTATTATTATTATTATTATTATTATTATTATTATTATTATTATTATTATTATTATTATTGTTGTTGTTGTTGTTGTTGTATTCATTAGTATTATCATTACTTGTATTATTATCTTTGTTATAATCATTAGTATTCATTTTATCAATATCAGTGACAAAAATGACCTTGATCTTTATTATTGTTACTATTATCATCATTATAATCATTGTTGTTTTTGTTATCATTAATAGTAGTAGTAGTAATATCATTATTCATTATCTTATTCTTATTATTATTATTACTCTTTTTATTATCAGTACCATTATTTTTATTAGCATTATCCTTATCGTCATTATTTAAATCAGCATTAATGTTATTTGCATTATTATCGTTATGATATCATTATCAATATTTTCATTTTTAAAATTTTATTGATATTGTTATTATTACTAATATTATGAAAATTATTATTATTATTACGACAAGGATAAAGATAATTATAATGTATTATTTGCATTACTATTATTATCGTTTTTATTTTTATCAGCATCTTTATCACCATTATTGCTATTTTTAGTGTTTATATTTTTATGATAATTTTTATTATGATTATTGTTATTGTCACTACATCTCTTGATTTGTTATTGTTATATTTATTATTTTCCGTATCTTTATATCATAATCATCTTTATATCATTGTTATTGTCACTACATCTCTTGATTTGTTATTGTTATATTTAATATTTTCAGTATCTTTATATCATAATCATCTTTATATCATTGTTATTATATTTGTTCTTGTTATTATTATTATCATTAGTATAATTATTTTTAAGATCACTATCATTATTATCATTATATTCTTTATAAATATTTTTATAATTATCATCATTATCATTTGTATCATTATTGATATTATATTATTATATTATTATTATTATTATATTATTATTATTATTATTATTATTATTATTATTATTATTATTATTATTATTATCATTGTTATTATTATTTTTATTATTATTATTATTATTATTATTATTATTATTATTATTATTATTATTATTATTATTACTGTTATCATTATTATTATTATCATTATTATTGTTATTATCATTGTTATTATTATAATTATTATTATTATCATTACTATGTTTGCTACTACTATCAATATTATTATTATTAGTTTTACATAGTGATAGCGATAAGAGCAATTGTAATACTAAATGTAAATCATCATTATTGTTGTTGATATAATGATTATTAATTTTATTCAATCATTATTATTATTATTATTATTATTATTATTATTATTATTATTATTATTATTATTATTATTATTATTATTATCATTACTATTATTATTACCATAACCATGATGTCCTTTTTTGTTGAAATTATTGTCATTAT